GCCATCGAAAAACTATCACCACCAAAAACTTTTAAACAATTAAAAATCTTTATGGGTTCCATACATCATCCCACACGATATATACCAAAATTGGCACAAACCGCTGCCGCCCTACGCCCATTACTAAAAAACACAGAAAAGAACAAACCACTTGACTGGTCCACAGAGCATAACACAACATTCAAAAACATTAAAATTGGTAGCTGAAATAACACAAAACAAACATTTTGATCAACATGTTCACACTCGCATCGTATGCGATGCTTCAACTACAGGATTAGGAGCTGCGTCAGAACAACATTCGCCAGAAGGTTGGGTCGCCGTAGCTTACGCGTCACGTTTTCTGAACTCATTAGAAGAAAAATTTTCTGTAAACAAACTCGAACTATTAGGGGTCGTGTGGGCAATCAAACATTTTAAATACTATCTATATGGAAAACACTTTACCGTCATCACTGATCACCAAACTTTAATCAGCGCTTTAAACGCAAGCGAACGATCAAAAACAAGTCAAAGCCGGCTCACACGTTGGATTGACCGATTAATTCCCTTCCACTTCGATATCAAACATCTTGCCGGAAGTAAAATGGGATTAATTGATTACATGTCCCAAAATCCGGTTCGATTGGCAATACCCCCTAGTGAGTATGATGAGGAATTTGTTGTAGCATCAATTAGGACATTCATTAATAATCTGGAAATGATTGACAACCTCATTCTAAATAATCTGGCCAATCAGAACAAAGCACCGTATGAGCTGATCAAAAAGCGCGCGAAAAACAAAGGGTTATTGAATGCTGCTTCAAATACTCAATTAGCAATGAAACATTCCAAACATTCCGCAACCGGTCATTGCCAAACTAAAAACAGAAATCAGTCTCACTCAAAATCTGCTATAAATCAGTCAACTCTCTTTCGATCGCTATCTCAACAGTACCAAACAAGCTGCAAAAATTCAGTCCACAAAATTTCAATTCATCAGAGTAACAACTCAAAAATGAGCCGTAAGGAAAGCAAGGGTTTTAAGGGAGGATTCATCCCACCGGAGCTTAAGTCAACAGAGCCAAGAGGACGAAAAGAATCAACCCAGAACTGGCAGGGTTCGTCTGACCGAGAAGAAAGTCTTTCGGACCCCAGATGGCATAAGCGACCTCCCACGAAGGGAAAGAAAGGAAACCCTGACTTAACAAAATCGCCACAATAGAGCACGACACATCAACAACAACACCCGTACGGGATGCCAGGGAAGTGCTATCGGCTAAGATGCTAGAGACCAAAAACAATCAAGTTTCCCGAAGATCACCTTCACAGACACGAATACATCTGGAAGCACAACGGTCAGACCCGAACCAAAATATATCATGAAAACGACGCAAACACAAACGAAAACAAATAATACAGCAACAACTACACAAACACTCGAACCACAAAATACAACAACAGCCACACAAACACCCGATAGAAGCAAAGACACCGCAGAAATATGTGTCAGTCGTGTAGACCCGAATATCTGTGTACAATAAGAACGGACACATAACGTAGAACCACCAGCAATGGGACCGGCTGCACAGTTAGAAGCCAGTCACGAAATGATTACAGATGAACTGGTCGCGACGGTGAAGAAAGCCACAAACACGGTGGAATCAGAGGAGGACACACCTTTGTTTAGACAGAGACTACAGCGAGTATTGGGCGTTCATCGCCGCAGCCACCAAGAAAGATCGAAATCTGCGTCCCTTAATTAACTTCGTTAAAAAGAGGGATTGGGAAGCTATCAAGGCTTCCTACGGTCAGTACTGGCACAATATTTGGAACAGGCATCATGCCGAGAGGATTGCCTACTCATAGACGAGAAAACCGTCATTCATTCACAATTGAGGCAGACAGTTCTCGACAGTCTCCATTTGACACATCCGGGATCGGCAGCAATGTTGGACTTAAGTAACCATGTCTGGTTTCCCCATATACATCGGGCAAGTGTGCAGATGGCACAAAATTGCAAACACTGCACTGAGCAAGGTAAAAATTTTAATCCCATCATAGGAAAAAAACATTCGTTTTAAATGGAACTAGTAGTCGAACCCAATGAGGAAGTAAAATTAGATTTTGCAGGGCCCCTTCCGGACGAATTAAATAGAGACGCATATATCTTAGATGCAAAAGATAAGTGGTCTAAATTTCCAACTGCAAAAGTCGTTACGAATACAACAGCGGATATCGCTATTAAATTTATGCAACGGTACATTTCGAATAACGGGGTACCCCGAAGATTAAGATGTGACCAAGCACAGACATTTAGAGCTAAAAAAAATTTCAACTGTTTTGTAATACAAACAATATAAAATTATTGTTTGCGCCGGTAGATGATCATAGAGCAACAGGGGTAGTAGAGAGGATGATACAATTTTTGAAGCGTAGATTAGCGGTCATGAGAATCGACAAAACAAATACACCGTACAAACTCGCATCAAATGTAGCCGAAAGTATTAAAACACTGAGAATTACACCACATAGCGTAACAAAAATTTCACCACTTGAGGCCCACATGGGACGTAAGCCAAACACACCCTTATCAAACGTAGCAACTAGTAGTTCACCTGACAATTTAAATTGGGAAAGTGCAAAACATGCAAGTTTAGATCGAAAGAATCTTACAAAGCCGCCACTACCCGCCGATGTAAGGCACGATTTGCAACGGTGGTCAGAAGACGAAGTCAATATCAATCAAAGAGAGCCCAAACTTCAAATGCCTCGGAACCTGACAAACTCAGACTTACCGACACAAAAAGACACAGGTGCAAAATCTAAAGCTATAGAAATAGTAAAGGATAAATTAAACGTAAGATATAAGGGAATACAAGCAACGGTAGACAAAAACACGAAAAAACGGATAGATCAGGTAGCACGGAAAACAGTTAGAATAGCAACGAAGGTTAAGGATCCGAGAACATTCAAACAAAAACACAAAACCGTTGACGGAAAAAATCTTACATATACCCCACACAACGCTTGGGTGCAAACATTCGGAAAACAACCAAGATTACTAAGAAATAGCGGTGCCGCATTTGTCCCAAACCCTTAAATATACGGACCATGCAGACCGTCTCGACTCAAGAATTACATTGCCTATAAATCCGCGCGGAGATCAGGACCATGCCTACGTTTTTTAGACATCGAGAACCCTACTGCTCCCCAGCATCCAATGTTCAGACAAGACGAAACGACTGGCCTTCCAAGGAAACTTACCCAAAAAGAAAAGATGTTGGGACAAGAAAAAACCGATAGTCCAACAAAGCGGAAAGCAAGAGCAACAGGAAACCGGACCGGCGGGCGACTGAAACGAAAGCTACAAACCAGCGGAATGAGTTTGCAAACGGATATCCCGGCCGGGGGGACTTCAAACAATGACAACATCATTTTACAACCAGTAACACAAGACTATGACGACCAGGATAATGACGATCAATCATTGGCCTCATCAGAGGATATTGCCCCATCGCCTAAAAGGCAAAACAAGAAAAGAACACCACCCGCGATTTCAGCGGAACCGTTAAGAAAAGCGACAAGAAACCGCCAATCGGCGCTGTCCAATGCGTTTGGGAACCCGGTACCAATTAACGCCATTAACAATAAACACGACAAAGAAAGGAAAACGCCGCTCCAATTTGAAATTGATTCACGACCGGACAAACGAGATACGGGCAATTATTCAAGCCTCAAGTCCCTAATCCAAGAAATGGGTTTCACTGAAAAGACCCAATACAGAGCATGTATAAAACTGATTGAAGCGATTAGCCTGAAACACAAAACAGGCCACATAGAAGTAGTCGATTTAACCTCGCCCACAGAGGACGACGCCACAGCCGGTAACAATAACTAAATTTTATTCGTCAATTCGAAACTACAAGAAGGCGGGACGGAACAGACAAAGAAAAGCAACACATTACAAGATGACGAGGAACACGAAAGCCAGGGGGAGGAAATTGCCAAAGATGACATACAAGCAGAGAAATTATATGTCACAAAGTCCTATCGGGACTATAAAACTCAAACCTGTCAGTCCTTAGGGGACTCTTAAACTCACAAATCTGTCAGTCCTAAGGGGACTTTAAAACTCAATTTAAAAAACGATTGTTTATAAATTTTGTTGTCAAGGGGGAATGTCATCCGGCCTGGATCGACAAACTAACTTTATACGTATGTTATTTATATTATTTGTAATCTTATGTTAAACGCCTAGACGGCCGTTCACTTGACCTTGATAGACAGAGAAGACGAATTCTATTTGAAATAAGAATCAGAGTTGAAATAATGTTATCTGTCAACTAGTCGTTTTATATCGTTCCGACTGAGAAACAAGGTTTATCGATCCATTCGGATTCAAGAATTAGAATACCATACCCTGCGGTATGACACGTTTGTCCATGGATTCAACATATACTCTACAGGGTCGAGGGCAGTCGAAGATTTTCGAGACTGAAAATAAAGTCCAATTTTAAAAAGTAAAAAAAAAATACCACCAGCGAACTTCCCGCCTTGAATCGCCGCAGGCGATAACTTTTTCTTCTTTTTTTGTCTACACTCTCAAGGTCACTGCCTAAATCAGTCGTAGAGTCTCGCTTTTTTGGGATCTTTCCTACGGGATACTTGAATGGGCATAAAGCAGAGATTCAGCGGTGCCCTTTGTCAAAACAAAACCACCCAGCTCTTTAATCATTCCTTCAACTATTTCTTGAGGGGCTTAGGGCGGTTTTCGAGACCTTCCGATATCTGCCGCTACGGTTCCATCGTGCGCCACCAACACGTAAAACCTCATGCTACGTAGGTAACTGATGTTGGTCTCGTCCCTCGCCCACCGCGAGTTTTGAAACTTGTAATGCCTTCTGGCAGATTTCGAAATAGCCTGGCCATTTTTCATTTCCGCTAAATGCTAATTTTGATCCTTGCAGATTAAAAGAAATTTGCTTCCCCGAAGATAATTTTACGGACTTCAGAAACTTACAAAAAGAAAAGAAAGTTTCAAGAAATATAGGATCCTGATTATGTTTCAATCCTCCGCCTCGCATTGTTCTGGTCTGAAAGTCTTTGTTGGCAAGGTGATTAGATTTTTCCAAGTAAATACGAGACAAATCAAACTACAGCGTGTACAAATGTTCGGACTTTTTCCTGAAAAGAAAAACAACAACAAAATCATCAAGAATTATTTAAGTGTCAATATCTTTCTTCTCTGACACTTGATGAGAACTCCAGCAAAAACTGTTTTAATTTTAAAGGTATTTTTTAGCCAAATGGCTTTAGTATGAATCATAATTGATGAAAACTAACACATTAACAGAATAATTTCATTGGATAATTGAAACACAACCGTTAATTTTAAATAACCAAACAAATATCTACTCTGTCCTATGCTAATGGGGCACATGGCTCCTTGTGTAACGAAGTGTTATACAGTTATAAATCAAATAATTCAATCGAAAACTAGAACATAAAAAAGATCAACTTGAAAGGATCGCTCCTGACGGCAACTGCGGCTTCTCTACTTTCGGGTTTTGTTTTATACTTTTACTCAAAATTTCATAATCGCACTCTTCGTCTTGGGCAGTCGGACTGAATGGGTCCAACACATAGCCCAACTTAGTTTTGTAAAATTTCTTTGCTTCTTCATTTATGTCAAATACAGTGAGCATGATTTTGCTGAACCCGTTGTAGAAAGCGATTAATTCTAAGAGTTTCATCAGGAACGTTCCCAGTCCCTTCGACTGACTGAGTTTGTTCACTTGGATCTCATAGCAGTAAAGAACGTCTTGATTGTCTTCCACGACAAAGCGCAGATGCACGAAACCTGCAAAACAAATAACTGAGATGATGAATCACTGAAAAATTTGTCCCCCTCTCCTTCATGGTTAACTTGAAGGGCAAGGTGACAATGAGATAATTTTTTTGGGAAATAAGAAATTCAAAAACGTCTTGAATAGTTTTTTCAAAAGAAATGTAAGTGCATTCCAGAATTCACCCACCGTGCAACATATTGGCATCATCGCGGGCTAAAACATATCGCGCATCATTATCGAAAAGTTCGTCCCATTTTTCACGCTTTATCCACCCGACAGCTGACTTCTCGTACATGTCTCGCATGTTCTGTTCGAACACAGAGAAAATCTCTTCGCTTGTCGTTTCATCAAACGATTCGGCTTTTCTATAAGTAATATCTAACTTCAAGTCGTTTTTGCTGAACTTGGAAAATGGTTTAAGATTTTCTAGTACATTGTCAGAATTTTGGGCTCTTCTACAAAACTGATCTAATGCACAAAGATAGTCATTCGTTAGTTTCCGAAAGGCTTTTTTATTTTCTTTTTCTTTTCGACCTCTCGATCGACCTGAATTGGAAGTCATGGCGTCTGAAAATCAAAATTGGTAAACTTCATTGTAGTTTGTTCAACGCATTTTTTCGTATAATTCATCTCGAGCTTTTATCAATCATTATAAACACGAAAGAAAACGAACTAATCGAGAACTAATATTATCATATTTAAATCAATAAAATCCAACAGTAAACAAACTAAAAAAAAAACAACTGCTATGCAGATCATCCATTGAAGTATCGGTTGAGTTCAATCAAGAAAAATATCAACAAAGTACAGCTCAAAAAATGGTCGTTCCAGGATGTGAAACAAAACAATCTCATTTTACCCTTTTATAGCAATTGCGAAGTCAAACTTCGGGTCATTTTGATGTCTTTTACCGTGAAAGAAAGATCTATCAGCTAAAATACCAGCCAATCAAAATGCTTACACCTAATCAAAAACCTGAGTAAGGTTCACGCTCTTCTTTTGGAGTTTCGAACATTCAACACAGAGGCGAAGCTGAGCTTCGCGCCACTTGCTATGCAAAAAAGAAAGACTCTGTTTGAAATCAAACAAAAAAAATTGATAAAAACTTCAAAAAATCGTTTTTATCAATAAAACACTGAAACAGAAGCCCAAAATATCGGGAACAAAGTTGCATGTATCACAAGAAACTTTAGAAAGAGCTTTCGGAATGCTAGAAAGAAAATTTCAAAAACTAAGCTCTGCGGAACAAAGCCGACGAAAATTGGCAGACCAACAATAATCGAAATAAGCCGAAAAATTGTATATGCAAAAATCAGTTCTCGACAGGAATCAAACATTGGAAGAAGTGGAAATAATTGGAGTGGACTTGGCAAACAATGGATTCAGCTTAGCTCGGCGAATGAGCTTTAATTAGAAACACAATGTGGCTAAAAAGTAGTCCCAGATGAAACTGGCATTAACAGTAACATAGCAGGAGAAGTAGGCCTCCTAAATAACATGAATGGGCGGTATATTTATTTAACTCCTCAGAGGTGACGTTTAGGCCCAACTTGACCACTAATAAAAGAATCACGTTCCCCTAATAGCTAGTAGGTAGGGATTGGAAGAGTGCATAGATTGGTATTTTAGATGCTTGGCAAGAATTAGCTACCCATGAAAAGGGTCTTTCTCTACCCCGGGAAAACGAACCATTCAAGGGATAATTCCATAAAGACCTCAGGAGACTGTTCAAAGAAGCATAGTTGGTTAAAGGGTGAAATTGAACTCGATATTTACACAACTTACTTACAGATACCCTTAAAGAACTTGGAATTTAGCACTTGTGTCGTCACAGGAAGAATTCAGTTAAGATCTTGCGAAAGGGGTACCAATGTAAATGTTAGGACTTGTAGGGACGAGCAGATCTCTAGGTATGCCTAAAACTTGAAAAGACAAACACAGCGAAAAGGTTACGGATAGACTATCCTTAGGCAGAACAAAAAAGAAGCTACAAGTGAGAGTAGTTTGAGTTCTTATTGTTAGCAAGAGAAAATTTGCACTTTGAGAGCGGACGGTTGGTTCTCATTGTTAGTAAGAGAACATTTGGTACTTAGCTATAGTATACTTGGTTCTCAGTTAGTTAGAGAACAATTACCAGAGACGATAGATAGCGCAGTCAGTAGATAGCTGGTTCTCGTTACATTTAAGAGCAGTGATTCCTTGAAGTTAAAGAGATCCACTGAATTTCCTTGTGATCCACAGAGATACTATCAATTTTAGCGGGTCGAACTGAGTAGTTGAGTGGAATTACAGTGTGTAATTGGTTTATTAGACTTCTCTAGAGAGAAAACAGTTTAGTTAAGTTAGTTAGCAAATAAATTGCAATTAGGCGATTGTGCTGATAAATCGCGGGCCCTTTCCTTTTGCATTAGATGGCCAGTTAGAGCATTCTGTGTTTAGACTTATCTTAGCTGAACGTAATTACCACTTTGCGATGTCATTAAGAGAGAGAGAGAGAGAGAGAGAGAGAGAGAATGAATCCAGAGAAACAATCCCTAAATATACATTGGCACTCTCTTTATCGAGCGAACAACGATCTTTGGAGTCAGCAACAACGAATGCTGGAGGGGTTGAATAAACCACGACAAAAAAAATGGATTGAAACAGCTTAGCAGCAAATGAAGTGTTTTTCAAATCGAGAATTGACGATGTGTTTTTAGTGAGAGCTTTAAATAGGAAATGTGGGTTGTTCGAACTGCATCAACTATGTTAAGTTTATTATGAAGCACCCGAGGATAGAACTAAAGAACTACTGTGGTCCAAGACAAGAAGGTGATGTCATTCATGGCTGGACGCTCACGAAGTTGGAGACAGGGACTATAACCGATGAAGCAGCAGTTATCGTCGGCGAGAACGTGTTCAGATCCCTGTTAATTAGTCTCAACACGCTGAAGAGAAAATCAGAAATCAGGGTGGACTCTCAACGGCGCCGTACTCAAGCAGGTGGTAGTTCGGTGCCGTTACTGGAACGGATCGGTCTTCCCTTGGACGAAGGCGGAATGTGGCAGAGTATGGCCCACTCCAACGATGCCAGAATGCCGACAGGAAAGTTGGTGCACCTAGACCCGAATGGTCTGACAAGAGGCGAACTTTCGTTTGCGGCAGAGTCTGCGGTAAAGAAGCGGATATCAAGATCGACAAAACGACCGATTGCACTTTGATATCCAAAGGTCTGCTTAAGCTCCTCTGGTACGTTGCCGCTGTCCGGGGTTCAATGGAAAGTTGAAAGGAACCTTCAACGGAAAAGATAGAAAAAATGAAGCAATTGGATACAGCAGGGCGAAGATCGAAATTGGAAGCTTTGACGAGGGGTTCACATTGATCGTTGTCGGCAACTGCATGCTTGACTCCGATGTGGTACTCAATGCTTAGGAACTCAAAGAGAGCTACATGATTCATTTGTGAGCGACAAAAAAGTAGCGATCTGCCACGAGACTGATGCTATGAAGTCTATCCCAGTAAATATTGAGAAATTATCAAAAACAGTGACGATCGTGCTGGACAAAGAAAAGATTCGGACGAAAAAGGAGATATCGATGCGAGATGCGGAACAATCGAAGAGGCCGAGTGCGAGCATGGTCAACGAACGGACCACGACGATCGAACCAGATTTAATTACTGCGAATTATTCAAGACCAGATAATAATGACAATTCATCGGACATGAAGGCGCTGCTGAAAGCGGCGGAAGGGTCATCCGAGGTCTACCGTAGCAGCATTCGATCAATGGATTTGTCGACAAGCTTCTTGTTGGGATGGAGCTGGAAGAGACTACTGAAGTCCACCATATGAATGTCTGCGCTTTCATGATCCTGGAAGCTTGAAGCGTTTAAAGGGAAGATTCACGAATGGCGGGATGATCAGATTTGTCATGTAATTATCTTGGGTCAGGCAGAAGTGGATGTGTAGATTGGGACATTCACAGAGCGACTGGATATCGTTGTGGTGGCGGCCACTGAGATAGATGTCGATGTGGTGCTGAGCCTTTCAGAACAGGAAGAACAACACGGGATGCTCCTCGAACGCTCTAGAGGGGTGCTGGAGACTGAAAGGGAAACGACGGTTGAAGTGATGCAGCATCGTTTTGAAGTTGTGCTTGAGGGGGCAGAAACCCAGAGACCCCAAAAGAACAAAGACGAAGACGAACACCAGCCAGCCGAATAGCTCAGTGAAGGGTTTGGTGTAATAGCCGAGCTCGCTGGAAAAAATAGAATCAAGCCGGGAACCAGTAGAGGTGAAGTAAGGATAACTGCCCGTAATGACACCTAGTGTTCGACTCTATACTCGGTGAGGGTAAGGATGAGGTCGCAACAGAAGTCGAATCGAGCCCTGGACGAAGAACAAGATCAGCACTCGATGAATAAACGAAAGTTTGGTAAGTTTATATAAGATATCGAAATTTTCAATAGTTGATGGACTAGATAATGATCTAACACTTGGATTCGTTTGGTACGAACGGAACAAGGGTTTCGTTTTCGAAATGAAGAATTAAGTTTTGAAAACTGGTGCGAAGTGCATCAGTTCAGTTGAGGCTAGGTTCAGATGTCCTGGGAGACAAAGTTTCGTGTCTGAAGCGGGATGGAGACCAGCAGACTATGCGTCGACGCAGAGAGTGCAAAGCCGCCAGTGCGCGTGCTAGCTTATCGCGAAAGTGAAAGTTCTGGTACGGAATTGGCTATGTGCGACGTGACAGTGCCATGCAAAAAGCAAGGCGGCGAAGTAGGACTGGTTGACGACGTCGCTGAGCGAATCGACATCGAAGCTTCCGGAGTTAGATGTCAGGAAAACGAGCGAAAGGAAAAGAGTCATGGATCATTGAAGATGGGGTATTTGCGAAGTTGCAAATACAAATGAACGCATCTGCCCGACGGAGATGAGACGAAATGAGATATCGGTCGATGAGCATAAAGAGGAGAATGCTGGATGTTATGATTGATTCGACGGAAGGAAATTGACGGTATGATTGCTCCGAGCGGAAACAAGAACGACGAGAAAGATTCTTTAGGCGAGTCTGACAATAAATGTCGAGTATGGGCGAGGACGAGACGACAGCTAGTTCTCCGAGTTGTGTGGACAATGCCTATGAGGTAGAGCAGATGATGTGATAAGCCTGCCAAAGCCCAGATGACGAGAAAACGGACGAAACAGCAACTACTTGGGCGGAACCATTCCAAGAGATGTCGGAAATGTGCGAACACAGATTGTCTATGAACGGACGGGAGAAGTTAAAAATTGGCCGGTAATTAAAAGCCTCTTTCAGGTCATCCAAGCTATGCTGAACAGACAATAAACGAGGTGGGCTCGGCGATAGAGGAGAAGTGGCGCCTAGAGATGCTAAGGCTGCCTACTTCCACAATTTGAGTGATCGATGGAAAAAGCTGCCTTCGTTCGGCGAAGATGAAGTTGACTCGGGTTGGGCCGCATCAGAAAGCGAGGTCTAGAAGCAGCGTTGGCGTCCACCAGTTGTTTTGGGGGAGTCGGATGACTACATGGTGCCGTATCAAGACTACCGGCACTTCGTAGACAGATGAAAATGACAAAAAGAGATGTAGGAGACTCGGTGAGAGGTCGCAAATGTAGTTGGAAGACGCAGCTCAGTGAGTACAACTTCAAAACCTCCTTACTAGTCTCATCGGTAGAACTCATAATTGGATTAGAAATGTCTCCACTATGATAGTAGGATGGCGCCTAAACGAAAATAGGGTTTTTGCAAATCTGGAAAAGGGTCGAGACATTTCACGAAGCCTTAGATTATTCACCAGGACTAATTGCACAAAAAACTACGGTAATTAAAGCCCGCGTTTCACAACGCTGCAACAGTAGTAATCCTAGAGCCGGTAAACACGTATGTAGGTATCGGGTAAGCGGCATGTGGTATAGTGAAAGTTAACGAGTAGTACGTAGCTTGATATTCAGTAATAAACACGATAAGTAGAAAAGTACACATACAGCCTAGTCCAGAATAAGTTCGACTGTAAAAAGTAGACACCTCTGCAAAAACTCTCGACCCCTCGGATTCCCTGGGGCAAGTGATAGCGGTTCCCGGCAGTGCAAATAGCCCTCATAGAACTTGGTAGCTAGCGGTCAGAATGTGACCAAAATTTAGTATATTACAGACCTAGTTGCAAGAAGCTAAGTTTAAAATCCCAGAACCAGTGTACCCTAAAGCAAATAGTCCCGACCCGACTTCCAGAAGTCGTTTCTCCAGCTGCAATAAACCCAGGCAGCCACAATTTTAGGATATGATAGGTAGTTAACAATGGACTCCATGAAATAGAATTTGAGCCAAATCCGGCGATTAGACCGGATGTTATTAGGACTTGAAAAAAAACAGCCCTTGGACAGGAAATAAGCAATTGAGGCAAAATAATGAGTGAGGAGTATTGATTCTTTAGCGGCAATAAACACAAAACACCAACATCGGAAGAAGACCCCTTGTGAGTAAAACCGCTTCGGCGACTCCTTCCGGTTTAAATAGCCTTTTCCTGGGCAAAATGATAATGGACCTTAAAAATGGGATAAGTTGGTAAAACATATTGGGATATGGATGAAGATTGGTAACTAGGACTCCCTTGGGATTCTGGACTCGAAAAAGGAAGATTGACCCCAGATGATATTTGAATGACCTTCAGGCGTTTATGACCAAAACTGCAACGAAAACCCCAGAGTTAACACCGCAAAGTGGCGTATTTGCCAGCCCCAACCCTTGGAAACTGGAATGGGTCACCTCACTTATAATTGGGAGGGATCTTAATTATTGGGAACTGAAGCAGAAGCTGAAAAAGATAAAGCTTTGCATAGTAACTTTGGAAGTAGTGGAAATAATTGAAGTGGTCTTGGCAAACGTTGGGTTCAGTTTAGATTGGCAAATGAGCTATTAAAAGAAATTCAATAAAGCTAAGGAAAAGTAGTCCCCGATGAAAGTGGCATTACTAGTAGCATAGCCTGTGAAGTAGGCCTCCTAAAAAACATGAATGGGAGGGATAATTACTTAGCTCCCCGGAGGTGACTTTTTAGCCCAACTTGACTCCTAATAAAAGAATTACGTTCCCCTAATAGCTTGGTCGGGATTGCAAAAGAGCATAGATTGGAATTTAGATGCTTGAAATGAATCAGTTACCCATGAAAGAATTTGTTCTTGCCCCGGGAGGTCGGAACGTTAATAAGATAATTAAATAAAAACCTTCGGAGACCTTAGGTTAATTAATCATAGCTTCGTTTGGAGGTCAAATTGGACTTGATATTAGCACAACTTAGTTACAGATACCAATAATGAACTTGGAATTTAGGACTTGTGTCGTCAGAAGAAGAATTCAGTTAAGACATTGCGAAAGGGGTACCGAAGTAAATATCAGAACTTATAGGGACGAGCATAACTCTAACTATGGCTAAAACTCAAAGAGACAAACATAGCAAAAAAAGTTACGGATAGACTACCCTTAGACAGAACAAAGTAAGCTACTAGTTGGAAAACTTGAGTTTTCATTGTAAGCTAGAGAACAATTGCGCTATTAGAGCGGAATGTTGGTTCTCATTGGTAGAGGGAGGACAATTGGTACTGAGCTACATTATAGTTGGTTCTCATTTAGTAAGAGAACAATTACCGGAACGAGAGATTGCGAAGTCAGTAGATATATGGTTCGTTAAATTTCCTATTGATCCGTAGAAACACTGTTAATTTCAGCGGGTCGCTCTGAGTAACTGAGTGGAATTACTGTGTGCAAGTAATTAATTAACATTTTCTAGAGAGAAAGAAAAAAAATAGTTAGGTTGAATTATTTTAAAGTTAAACTGTAATTAGGCAATTGAGCTGATAAATCGCGGACCCATTCCTTTTGATTAGATTATTAGATTTTCTTCTGGCCACTTATTTGGACCCTTCTGTATTTGGACTTACATTATATAAATTTAATTACCATTGGGAATTCTTGCGATCGTATCGAGCAGACGAGACAGCCTTAAAAGCAGTAAAAAAAGGAGCAAGTAACATAATACAGTATAAAATCGTTGCCAATAACTTAACCTTTTCGGGATTGTGGATAGAAGTAAATCTCGAAGCAATCCCCTATATCTACACCGGAACTTGGAAGAAAGCTGAACCTCAAAAAGTCGGGCTACGGGAAGTCAGCCGACGAAAAAAAACAGACGAACGATAGTTCAAAAAAGCACAAAAACAGTGTGAAAAAACAAAACAGGTTCAGGCATTGTATTAACTCTACGCCAGATGCCCCGGATGGTTGATTGAAGTTGAATTCATAATTCAAACGGTAACTAAGACGAAAATACCTGAGCAGCAACCTTTCATGCCAAAAAAAACTCAAAAAAATCTTAACTGATTAAAAAATTACAGGTCTCTTTTCCCCTCAGAACACACACACGCGCACACAAAAACTTTTAAATCCCCAAACGACAAAATAAAAGGCCACTATTTCGATATAAATTAAACCGAAACTTATTAAGCTGACAGGAGAAAAAAATTTTTGTCAAACCGAGTTGATATGCTACAAAAAAAAAAAACAAATTTCGATTCGGTCGAATTGTTAAAATGCTGAAACACTTAAAACAACAACATTGAAAACTGTTTACAGCTTAAAATGGTTCTTAAATGAGGCAACTAAGCCGACAAAACATAAGCAGACACAAAATAGGCCGAAAAAAGATTCTTGTAAGATTTGAACTAAGGACCTTTGCCGTGCCAGGCGTATTCGCTATCTCCAGGCTAAGTGTGCAGAAGACACTGAAAAAATTGATTTCATTATGAAACAAGGTACCACCAGGAGTCCAGATGAGTCCTGTAAACTAAGTTATTTACGGGAAAAAAGTCCAGCTTCCTATTGCAATACACTTGTTTATCGCAAGGGTAAATAAATTTTTGGTGAACGATTAAAGCCACTCTCTGTCTTTCAAATTATCTGTCATAAAAGAACCCCACTTAATTTTTGATTCGAAGCATTAATATTAACTATTGAGCTGTACCATCAAAAAGAGACGATTGTAGATAGCTAGTTTGGATTATCGGTAGCCCATAAGAAAAAATTGCAGCCTCTCGAAGCGCATGAATAAAATAATCGTCCCTGATTCGGACCTTCTTTTCTCACTGTCCTCTCGACCACTTGCTGCTCACAAAGACAGTTCATAGTAGGAACTACTCCTGGAGTTGGTTGACTCCCATTTGTTGAATAATCACGTGTTATTACATTAGAACCCGGTCCTTGCTGTGACTGGTTCCAACTTGATGTCGAAGCACCACGATAAGGTCCCGATGGTGTCCTTGAACCTCTGGAACCCCTCGACATTGCAGATCCTCGGGATCCTCTCCTAGGTATCGAACTGTTTCTAAAACTACTCGTAGATTGACCTCGCGATCTATTTTGATTCGCCGAAGCTCTAACTCGACTTGTAACTGTGCGTCCTTGATTTCTTGAATTAATATTCGAGCCCCGATTGAACGAATTCGAAGTTCTTTCAGATTCACGAGACATATTCGCTGCCGACGACGCAGCTGAAAAATGACTTGATCCAAGCGAACTAATAACATTCCCGGAACGATTGGGGTTCCCAGAATTTGAGGTTTCTCGGAAAAGATTAAGAAGGTCCAAATTACAGCCAGCTAGACATCCTGAATACTCCAGACCAAAATAGGGCGGGACAGAATTCGGTTTGAATCGGAATTCTAACAACTTTGGTAACTCCGAGTCGCTACTAGGAACACTACATCTTAAGCATTTAGTTCGTGAAACTTCAACTGAAGTTGCGAAATTAGGAATGTTTATACTTGCATTACAGCTAGGAAATCCGTCACATACGATTTCCCAGAACGGATTTTGGGAACTATTTTGACTTTCTGGGTGACTTCTTCGTCGATTTTGTTTTAGATACATAACAGATGAACAGCGATTGCACTTCATTACTGCTTCTGATTGTTGACTAACATTACTGCTGCTATTAAAACTACTGCCATCATTGCTACCATGCGTTGACCCAGTTTGAGAATTGATACCAAAATATTTTCGAATAGCATCTTCAAGTTTAATTGCTCCTCGTTCTAGGGCACTAAACGCTGATGTATACTTTGCTATTTGGGTTCTCAAAACCTGTTCTCGAGTTTTTCGACCTTGGCAAATAGCTTCGAAATCAATTTCCATTTCAGCTCTAAGTTCAGGTTTACTCATTCGCTCACCTGTAGACGATCGATTTTAAAAGTAGACCAACTAAACAAACGTTGCTCGTTGAGATCCAAAGGCAAATATTCTAATATCAGACACATGACCAATTATGCTGATTTACTTCTCCATTAAGATTACATTTTGGTAATTGAAAATTTTACTATGGAGTCACCAACTCCAATAATTCGTTTTTCTTTAATTACATCATTCAAAATTGGCTTTTTTAAAACTATTTAATAGCTCCTCCCTTCTGTATCATTCCTTTGTTTTAAATTTCAAAGCCAATTTATAGCACAGGAGGTCTACTACTTGAAATCTATCGCCTAGTGTACCTATAGTTTCGTATCCTTCCACCAGACCGATTCCCAAAGGACAAGGATGGAATTGTCTGTTCACGACTGCCGTGTAATCTCTCGTCTTAATCTTCTCAATATGCTCCGCATGTGTGGCATCTGTGCCTATGCCATGGTTCTCCATCAACGAAATCAAATCAGCTTCTGTCAATGTTCCTTTTCTTCTTCCACCCGCCTTCAATTTTCAAACGCTTAAAACATATTTTACCCTTTCACATTAAATGTTGATTTAGAATGGTGACAGAAAAAGTTCTCAATACGTTCGCCGTTCTCAATAACGTGACAAAGAGGCGGAACGAAGAGAGTGTTTACCCCCCCCCCCCCCCGTCGAAATTATTTAATAAATCCGGTTGCCAAATATGCATTAATTTAATTGGAGCCAATATACATTAGCTCTAATAGCGCTCACCGAAAAAATGAATCTTTCGACGTAAACCATTCATGAGCGATTCGAAACTAAGGCGAGATACGTAAAAATGTGCTATTTTTGTTAACTCTCCAAAAACTAATTTTTTCGCCTAGGGCGTAGAAAGTTAGGCATAAAAGGGTTTTTAGAGCGCTTTGAGAGAGCTCAATTTGGCCGACTTGAAAAAAATTGCTTCCACGAGAAACATCTAGACCAACCGCTGGTCGTATTAAGTACTACACTTTTACCTAGATGCTCTGCGAATCACAGAAACCTCAATTATTACATTAATATCCTTTGAAACTGGAATTATGCAAATTAGGGTGAAAGAAGAAAAGATTCCTGTCAATAAATTAGGTGGCGAGGTACTCCCTCCTACCGCCTCTATAGACGTCGGTACAAATTGTTGCCCGTTTTGATAAGTAGGCAGGTTCTTATTACCCCAATAATGATACGGATAAACTTCCAGGTAGTTTCTTTCGCTGATTGACAACCCGCTCGCGTGGAAACTCTCCTCGGCTATTTTGATTTCAACTTTGCACTCGTGGCCAATCGCGTCGCGAGAAACACAGGCGAGAAAGTGACGAACTATGAATTCGTAAACTTTCGTTTCGTTGCCCGACAAGTTTTGGGCATACTTAGTCGGGTGTATAGGCGGATGAGCGTTGTCAGTTTTCTGTCCATTTCTGGGATTGGGTCCGTTTTGCAGAACTCGTTGAGCAAAACTCCCCCACCGACCATCGCTTGTTTGCATTTCAACCAAAGGCACGAGGTTCAAATTCTTCGGGAAAATATTAGTCTCTGTTCTTGGGTAAGATATAAAACCCGAGGTGTATAACTTTTCCGCAATTGACATAGTTTCCCTGGCGCTGATTCCGAGCCACCTCGAAGCTGCCTTTTCTAGTTCAACTGTATCCAGTGCGACAGGTCTCCATTTCTGTCTTTGTCTGTTCTCGACTTTAGTTACAGTTGCTAAATTTGCCTCTTTACATTCGTCACAGATCACTTCAACAAATATTTCGTCGAATAGTCTGACTCGATTCCAGTTGAAGTCCACGTGGAATTTGGGCGTGCCGTTTTGCCCATCACTTTTATGCGTAACCTATGGCCATGTCTAATTTTATGGGGTTGGGTTCGCGCACTGTTCTAACAAATGAGATGAGAAAATATGTAATAAGTTTAAATTAATTTCGAGAACAATTTCTGACTGTCGTTTTTATGGAAAACAATTAAGCGAATTTGAGCAATCTGGATCAATGGGTGAAAATTTAATTTGAAAATTAAAATCGTAAGTCTAAAATCCTAAGAAAAGAAATCAGAAGTGCAACCACGAAACAGAAAACTTGAGCGTGAACAACTTAAGACATTTTCCTAAAAAAATAATCCGGCCCTATATAAGAGTCTCCAATGCCTTCAGCTCTTAAAAATGAGCCCAGTACGAGAAAAGGCGTCAAAAAGTTTTAATCCGAAATCTGCAAATTAAAAACTAATTTCGAAACTTAAAGTCAGTTAAATTTTTTCACTCTACTTGCATTTTCGTAATTGGCCGTATCAATGAAAAACAAGGATAGCCTGTGACTGTGCAACAGAATAACCCGACCAAATACAACAACAAAAAAATTAAAATTGGTGTCGTTTTTTCTGATTGCTGAGATAAAAGAATCTGAACCAAAAACAAGAGCTTAGGCAATTTCGACAGTCACAGTGAAATAAGCAATTTGGACAACACATTTTTAAAGAAAAACAACAAAAAAATGACTAGAAAAACAAAAATCGAAAAATAAAATTTAAAAAATGCAGACGTTTTTTGAATTTTCGAAATTCTTGATTCCCAAAATGGCGTTAGAAAACTCCAAAAACTTATTTTCCTAGAAAAAACTAAATTAAAGCACACATAAGATATTGTAAACGGCTCAAATTAAGCATAAATTGCTCGACCACTGTAATGGCTCGAAACATGATCAAAAATTTGAAACGGGTTTTTCTCGAAGCTGAGAAATTTACATTTCGTTTCAATTACGACTGAAAGGGCTTTGATATGATATATCACGCGACCCATTCTAATGATTAATTAGGGTACCTGATTTTGCGTGGAAAACAAAAAAAACTAACACACCCGAATACAAAGTTCCTCTGCATTTTCAATAGTCGGAACAAAAAAAACCAAATTTGAGCGTGATCAAAACTAAAGTTTTGTTCTTGAAAATAGTGCACGACCTAAAGGGTCTTCAATTTGTTCATTGATACTTAAAAACAAAAACTCACCTCTATTAACTTGTTATTAAGCGTAATGCTCCAATTGAAGTCGAAATCACTTATGAGTCAGATCAAAGCATCGAGTGCACAACGCATTTATGGGAACAGTGAATAGCAAGCATTTATTACTCTAATGTTAATTTTCAAAACCTGCTGCAAAAATGGAACTCAAGTGGAAAACATGTTCACTTTAAAGCTTCATTAAAGTCCTTCAGAAAATAGATTTAAAAAGATAACAAAAGCTTGAATAAAATTCTCAGCATTGATTGTAGTTTAGCTTATATTATATACCTATGCTTTTACAAAACTTAAATATGCGAATTATCTTGGAAAACAGTGAACTCTTAATAGAACACAAATTTCCAACTGTCGGAAAAAGTCTGACAAAATCAACAATTAAACTCAAGGCAAAAGAAAAATGAGTTTTTTAAACTCGGATATGAAAAATAAATTGAAGCTATGTGAACTTTAAAGTCTTTTTCTCTTTATCAGTTTCGCTATACTAAAATATTATCAGTTTCGCTATACTAAAACATTATTAGTTTTGCTATACTAAAACATTTCGCATTACTAAAACAGGTATCTGGTTTGGCGTGGAAAAACCTAACCTAGGGTTTAGTGTAGTCGGAACAAAAAATCAGAAGTTCAGCTCTGTATCACAGTTACTTCCAGAGGAATAATACACGATGCCAAAAAACTCAAGCAAACATGGATAGCCGGTTGCTTTGCAAGTAGCACATAATCCAACCAAATTGATTTCAGAAAACAAATAAAAAATAGAAAAAGTATCAAAATTAGAAAAAAGTATTTGCAATTTTCGTTGCCTAAATGTACTTTTGATTTTTTCCAGAAAGATCGATTGAATTAGGTGAAAAACAAAAAAGGAGCAGCAGATATGATTAAATATTATCGTTAAAATTCTGGTAAATTTAAAATTGGGTGCCTCTCACCAAGTTCAACTAACAGTGTCTGCAAATCGAAAACATTTAGAACAGTTTTTATCGGCATAGACAATATTTTCGAAATTACTTTTTCGAAGGCTTCAAAAAGATACCACATTTGACCACTTACGTGCTTTCCTTGATTGAGGTAATCAATATTGGCTGGAAAAAACCGACCCGACTCCAAAGTCCGGTTCACTCTTCGAGTGGTCGGAACAAAAACAGCATGTACTTTACCGAGTTAGGTTCGGAAAAAAACTGTTCTTATTGTTCAATTTTAGTTACAGTTTCACTCTATTTAAATCTCGCTCTCTTCAATTAGACATGGCTGCAAACCTGGACTTTCCAGAATGGTTCCTGTACAAATTCGTTTCTTTCTCTCCATCGATCCACCACAAAGCCCAGTGTAGGAAACTGACACGGTCCAAAACTGATTACCTATGAAAACATTCAACGAACTCTATCTGTTGGCTTCACAAATCTTACAAGTCGCAGCTTTAACACCGAGGCGAAGCAGAGCTTCGCAAGACTTTCGATGCATTAATAGAAAAAATGGTATCAAGGAAACCAAAAATAATAATTTCCAAAATCTGATTCAAAATCGTTAGTTTTAAAGTCAAAATTTGCCGTAAAATATTTCATTCTTTTTTTGAAAGCCTGATGCAAATTAATTACCGTCGGATCATTTGCTGAAAAACTCCACTAAATACCACTCTGTGCTACATAAATAAAGTTGGCACTAAGAAAACGAACAAAAACTGAAACCAAAACCACAAACCCGAAAAACAAAACCATGTTTTTTTTCAATGAAAATCTTTAAATAATATGTACGCAACAGGAACAAAGATATTTAGTTGATGACTTAGACGGGCCAGCATCTGCGCGTGTTTCTTAAAAAATTAAATGAAAACAGTTTACGGGAAAAAAGAAAGCCCAGTTCCCGATTATTACAAGACACTTGCTCTCGCAAATGGAAAAAATTTTAATAAAAAGGCTACAATGTATCGCCCAACACAATGAATATCATATATTCATCTGCCAATTTGATAGATTTTCAAAAAAACGTGACCAGAAACTGTTATTGTGTTTTTATAGATTTGCACTGATATGCATTCAAGAATCAAAAATCCAGCAAGAATAACTTAATACCTGATTGCACAACTGCTCATATGATCTCTGAAGTCTGAGAGTTTGGAACCGCGTGAAAGCCGCTCCGATTCTGAGATCCAACTCTCGGCGACATTCAACTGCTTCCGAGAGACGTTCGTCCGGGGCCACCAGATTATTGACTGCACGATGAATTGCAGCCGGCGTCATTTCCGAGAACCTAGCCCGCTTGACAGGGATGCTAGACTTTATGTTGCGACAAACTTGCAACACTTCGAAGCCGATGTTTTCACCTTCTCTATCACAATCTGTCCATAAAACCAACAATGTTGCATTTCTCACCAAGTTTTCAAGATTTCGCTGCACGTTTTTCATGTTGTCTGGAACAAACCGATCCACTGGGGCCTAAAAATCAACAATCATCCACTTGCGTTTTAATTCAAATTAATTTATTTTCTCCACGGTCTTAAACTCTTCTTGTAAAACTCAATTTTTACTACGTTACTTTCAATAGTAAAGCCACAAGTTTCAAAATTGATTCCTATCATTTCTTTACAAAATAGCCGCTACATTGAGTTTAGCAGCTTCATAATCCACAACTGTTACTTATATAGCACCCATACTTAGTGGGATAGACAATAATCGACGCCCGATTGACAATGGGGACTGCCACTCTTCAGATGCTTTTTGATCGCTTACGAGAACTGATTTTAAGAGTAGTATAAATGAAGACAAAGGGATCCAGAATTTTCAGAGAGGGGCTTCAAATGTTTTCATTTTTTTAATGTGCTTAAAATTCCTTTTTTGAGCAATTTTTCTGAGGTAGGAGTTGAAGAGGATCTCCTCTTAGTTCAAAGCAAACACTTTCAGGGCTGTGGGCAGTAAGAGGCTATATTTTTCATTCCCCCCATCAGGAATAATATTGAACAAATAATTAGAAATTATGCTATTAACGTCAAAAAATGTCATCACCATCCTCACTTGAAAGATTAAGATGACTTTTTTGGAAAGTACCTGAAATAGATCAGCCGGTCGACAGTTCTTCCACTGCTTATGCTGCTGCTGTGAAAACTCCACCGACAACAAATGTCCCGATACACTCGTGAACACCATTTGAACACTTGATGTCCTCCCATTTTGTTCAGACCTGGAGCCAATGCAAAATCATTGAGAACATTATCATCATCCAGTTTTGTTGAGCCATTCTTTTTGAAACCGTTACGCTACATAGTTAATTTTTCACATTTAATAGGCACATAGCCATATTTGAAATAATTTTCTAAAAACTTATTTTTGGGTGAGGGGGATCATGAAAATGAAAAAAATGAAAATGAAAAAAAAAAAAAATCAACATAATTTTGAGAAAAATCGAAATATACAGAAACTACTGTTCTTTTATAAAGAAATCAAGAAATAATTCAAAGTCAGGAAATTTGATGCTCCGGATATTAGCACGTCAACAATTTCAAATTTTTTTTTGAAAAACCTAAGTTGAAATCTTGCAAAACTATATACAACGATTTCCCTTCAAAAAACAGTTAAAAATATAATGTATGTAAGACCTGTATCAACAAGACTGCTCGTATCAGGGCGAGACCCTTAATGTTCCAATTCCATTTTAAGTTCTATGGAGCAAAGAATAACACGAAAAAAAAATAAGTTAAAAATTTAAAATGAAATTAAAATTAGAACACGAGATTTTTTTTGAAAACCATCCCCCTATTTGGAACGATTTCTAAGACGGATTAAATCTCCGCTTATGCGTTACTAGAGCGAAATAAATCGTGCGTTAATTGTCCCAAATTGGCCAAAATGGCAATCTTTAAACCCCCATAAATTTACGAAAAATGATCACAGGGGAAGTATCTTTTCAAATTTGAGCTCAGGAGCTCTGAAGAAAAAACCCACACCGAGCACAAATATTCCGTTACTTTCGTTACGAAAGTCGGAACAATAATGAGGTGACAGTATTCATATCGGGTTTTTGCGGCTATACACCCACCCCCTAATTGGATATAAGTGGCAATTCAAATTTTGAGATGAAATTGAAAGCGCCAAAGCTAAAAACAAACAATCATTTAAACACCACTCGCAAGCAATTAGCAGCTGCTCGATTAGGAAATCTAGTGATAAATTTGCAATATACTTTTGTTTCCTAATCGAGCAGCTGCTAATTGCACGCGAGTGGTATTCAATTGTTTGTTTCATTCGCTTTCGCGCCTTCAATTTCAACTCAAAACTTGAATTGCCAAATTTATCAATTTAGGGGGGTGTAACCGAAAAGACCACTCATATCAGTAGCTGCAGTTGCATCAAACAGCAGCAGGATTGTCACCTCTAACAACTGACTTGGCTGTAAAATGTAAAAACAGTTGTTATTGATTACAAAACAGCTACGGCCGGTGTTATCATAAAGATGTAAAACAGCGTTTCTTAAATTAGACTCAGATGTTCATTCGATACATATGCAATGAGCCATTGAAAAAAAAACAAAGAGTAGCTTAGAGACAATTTTTTCTATTTCAATCAAAAATCAGTCATTTTGTGGTGGTTTGTTAGACCTTTTAAAAGTCACTGAAAACAGCTGAAAGAGTAATGCAGTGTTTTTACTTAAGACATCAGTTTGAAAAAAAAATAACAAAAAGGCAAATTTCTATTAAAAAAAATAGTTTAAAAAAATTACTTGAACATATAACTTGAAAAAAGGTAAAAAAAATAGCAACAAAAATTTTTTGGTTTTATAGAGAAAAGTTCATAAACAGCTCTAAAAAGAATTGAAAATCAATTACCGAGCGTCAACAAATTTTGGGTTGAAACCTATTTCAGCCGAAAACAAAACTGTTGTCAAAAAAAACTTCATGAAGTTTTTAAAATGTTTACGACCCATCCAACCTGGAACACATAATCGCATGCGAATATATTTGCACTCGAACTTATGCAATGAAGGTTGACTAAGCCGATAAAACATAAACTGAAACTAGGGGGCCCAGCTGAAAGCTGGAAAGACCTGTTTGATTATTTTAATATTGATTATTTTAAAATTGTTTTAAAATTTTAGGTTTCTCAAGTCGATAGCGCCCTTCCTACGCAAAAAAAGTGAAAGAGAAGCTTATGCATTCATTGGTAACGCTTTGGTAAAAAGTTTTCATAAGGGAACTTTTCAAGTCCATAGGTGTTTCCCTAGACAATAGGGGCCCAGCTGGAAGCTGGAGAGACCTGTTTGGTTATTTCAGAAAAAACGTTATACAAATTTTTGATGAAAACGTAAGCATAGCGGATTCCATTGTCTAAAAAATACACACAATAAGTATATTGAACCTTTGTTCCAATGCCAAAAAACTTTTAAAAAAACTTTTCCTAAGTGTACAGCTCTTCCCCGAGACAAATTAAGGACCAGCCGCTTGGGCAGGGGAGTTTCCTACAACCTGGTCTATCGATTAAACCCTTAATCCCAAATCTGGATGGGTAGTTTTTGAGGAAATCGATAATTTCCGAAAAAATAGGCAAAAAAATCAAAAAAGTGACTTTTCCTAAGTCTATAGCTCTTCCCCTAAGCAAATTAGGGACCAGCCGCTTGTGCATGGGAGTTTCCTACAACCTGGTCTATCGATTAAACCCTTAATCCCAAATCTGGACGGGTAGTTTTTTTTTGAGGAAATCGAAAATTTCCGAAAAAATGGGCAAAAACTGAAAAAAGTACCGAGTTGTGAAGCTTTTCTAAGACCGTAGGGGGTGGGGTAGGGTAAAAATTGCCCTAAATTTCATGCAGGCAGGTAGGTGAAACGCTACTGAATCCCTTGGTACCACTTTTATGAGAATCTGCCGAGTAATTTTTTGGGAAAGCGAATTTTTCGAAAAAGCGTCTCAAAAAAAAAAAAAAAAAAAAAAAAACCAGATCTCATCTGGAAAAAAAAAACGTTTTCATAATACCTGTTTAATAAATCAAACAGGAACTGTTTAAACATTTTAAAAAAGAAATGAAAAAACCCAAAATCAGACTTGGTAAATTTACAAATTACTGAACTTTCAATAGTAATAAAAATAATTGTTTAAATTGAAACAAAACAAATGCTCTAAGAAATAAGCCAAAAAGCCCCTATCAGATTTAAACAATGGCGTTTCAAAAAAAAAAACGGAAAAGAACCGCTAGAAACTAGGGCGAAAACCACAATTCCGAAAAAATAGATGAATTTTTACACAAAATATTTTTAACCTCAAACGGCTTTACCTAATTACTACTTAAATTACAGTACTTTTATTTGAATTTTCAAGAAATTGAGCATGTCAAAAGATGAAGGAGTCCAGGAGATGAAATGAGTCCTGTGAACAAAGTTAATTATTACGGGGAAAAAGTCTAATAGCCGATTGCAATACCCTTGCTTCTCGCAAGGGTAATCAGACCACCACAACCTATACAAATAATTAGCAAATTTCAGCAAAAAGAAATTATCATTAAAATGTTATCCTTAAATTAGTTTTAAAAAAATGTTACTTAGAGGAATAAGTTACTTGAGAATAAGTATAACTCATTTCTCAAACATCATTTATTGTAACAGATTGTCGCGTTGATCGTCTCCAAACACGAGCATAAATTACTGTTGTCAGAAACTTTTGGTCTGCAAGTATCATCTTTCATCGACTTTTTTGAACTAGCTATTTCAAACAACTCAATTTTTTCAAAACATTTGTTCGGGAAAGACACATCAACACAGAGGCGAAGCGCAGCTTTGCAACACTTACGATACAATTAAAGCATTGCACTACAATATGTTCAAAAGAAAAAAAAAGTCAATTTGTTTGAAAAATTAAGCTGAAAAAACACTTGAAAAAAGTCGAAAAAATATATATACAAAAAGGCCATAACTTTGTCTTGGATGAGGTTCAAAAATATCCTTAGCAAGCATTACACAGAGGCAAAGCTTCACTTCGCAAATACTAGCGAGAACACAACAAAAAGCAGCTCTATAAAGTGCAATAAAAAAAAGTAGAAATAAGCCTCGAATTAGTATACGACTCGGATTCGAACTGCAACCTACTACGACCAAGAGATAACAACTCACGCACTAACCACACATACACGAACGCTTAACAAATCACAAACACTAGCCACAAAACAGCAAAAAAAAACAGATGCTATGAAATTTCTACTGCTACAGATCGTGATTTTAGCAGAAGTGCCACCAAAGAAGTTAACACTTTTAATGAACACTTTTGAGAGTTAGGTTAGAAAAAAAAGACGGTTTGTACTAATACACTACGCTGATGGATACTGTAAAAATTAAGACTGAGCGGCTAAAAAAACTTGGGTCGACCCTCGTTAAGCCGAAAATGTTACTGTAATCAAAATTTTAACGAACTCTTGAAATAGGCAAAAGCATTCAAAAAAATTCCCCGTGAAACTGCGCAACATAAGTTGACTTAGCCGATATAACATAAGCCCAACCCGTTTAACCAAAAAAAAATCAACATTTGGTGGATTTACAAACTAAAGAACAATTTTCAATTATAGCAAAAACTGTTTGAATTAAAAATTAAAAAAAATAAACGTATGCTTTGGAAAAGAACTGGTAAACCAGCCGCCAAAAATTACGACGAAAACTTGAAGCACGAAAAAATCTACATTTTATTTTTATAAAAATATACTTGAAGAAATTGATTACTACCACTCAAATGAACCAAGTAGTATCATTTGAATTTTGAAGAATTTTAGTATCTCTTGAGCAGCAGCAAAAACTGAGCAGAACATTTTGTAAGAAAAGTTGTTTGCACAAAAAGTCAAGCTCTCGACTAGAATTTAAGCCTACAAAAAAAACATCAAGTTCGATTTTTTGTCTTCAATTATGATACTTCACCAACGGACCATTCGAGTTCTTAGAAAAATATCTTCTGGGGAAACATGTTTGCACAGACCTACCTGAAATTATCATAGTGGAATTGGTAAACTCTGTTGTAGGTGCTCGCACCCGCATTGTTAGAAGCAGATCCGTTGCTCAGAATTGATGAGATAGTCTTAGCTGCGTCATTTTTCTCAGCTACATTCAAGATTATAGACATCACACTAAATAGCACGAAGACAGTTCATTTAGGTGGCCCATGTATACCAATCTTGTCATAAACAATTCTAACATTATTCATAGTCGGGAATAATCAAGTTTCTTGTCATGCTCATTGTCTGAAAAATTTTAAAGAAACTTGATCTTTTTTTTGCAATTTTTTAATTTTTTTAAAAATACCAATCACATATTGAGCAAAAGGACAACGACCGTCTCTTCACTAATTCGAAAAAAACTTCACGGGTGAATTCAAGGGCAGTAGAACGATATTATCGTAGAAAATTGCAAGAAATGGGCGTGGCACAATTTGAAGTGCCACCACTTAAACAGAAAAAAAAGCTTCAAGAAATGACTACACTGATCGCACTTGCAGTCACGAAATTGGTAGGAAAGACATAAACACTTAAGAAAACGGAGCGCAATCGGACTGAAATTCAAAAAAAACCATACTGAAAAGGTGCCAAGGACACATGGACAAAATACAATCAATTATTGCAATTGTGCCAAAATAAGTCAACCATTCCAGTTATTCTAAATTAAATCATACATAACTTTAACTTTTGCTAATTTTAAACAAAAATTGCAGCTTTAAATTTTAAAGCCAAAGACGGGTTTTTTTTTTTGTATTGCATTCCAGTACTTTTGTAATGCAACGTTAAAAACTTAGCAAACAGATAGTTAAAAAAACTGGCAAGCGTGTCTTCAAGGATCAATAGGCTCGCAACAAGTTGGTTCTTGTTCTTATCAAGCTATTCAAGTGTTTATAAGCAAGCTATTCAAGCTAGGAAACTTTGCAATTATGAAGTTATTTCAAGAAGCGATTCAATCCGCAAAAATTGAAAGTTTTTCTTAATAAGCTAATCAAGCGATGAAAATTTGAAAAAATTTCAATTTTTTTTATACCGAAACGTTTTTTCCAGGAAGTTTAAGTTTTCGTACGCAAGCTATTCAAGCAACGAACATTTAAAAGTTATTTCATGAAGGGAATGAGATGGCGAAAAACTGAAGCTTTTCTGTTGAAGCCATTCAAGCGATTGACTTGAAATATTTCAAGTTGTTGGTTGTTACACCGAATCGTTTTATGAAATTTTTCTGAGTGAGCTAATTGAGCGAAGAATATGGGAATTTGTCTAATTGGTTTCTTAGACCGAATAGTTGCGCGAAAACTTGAAGACTTCCTATGCAAGCTACTCAAGTGATGAAATTTTGAATTATTTCAATTTATTTCATTGAGCCAATTGTTTTGCAAAAAAAAAAAAATTTCCACTGCAAGCTATTCAATCAATGAATTTTTTGAAATGTTTGAAGTTGTTTCATAGAGGGAATCAGTTCACAAAAAACTGTTTTTCTTCGACAAGATTATCACGCTACCAAAAGTTTGAATTAACTCAAGTTGTTTCATGAAGCGAATCGGTTCACGAAAAAATAAAGTTTTTTTTATGGCAAGACATCCAAGCTATAAAATATCTCAAGCTATTTGATACAACGACTCGGTTTCGAACAAGTTTAAAGTTTCCTAAACAGAAAACTCAAGTTTAAAGTTTCCTTGCTTAGGAACCTAGTCGAAATCTAGTCGTTGTATAAAATAGCTTGAAATATTTTATAGCTTGAATGTCTTGCCTACGAAAAACTTAAATTTTAAACAAGTTCAAATAGTTCAAGTAATTTTGAAGATCGAATTGAATCGCGAAAATTTTAAGCTTTCCTAAGCCAGCTATGAAACTAGAATGAATCAGTTCATAAAAAAAATAAGAAATTTTTCCTGTGCAAGCTAATCAAGCTAACAAAACTTTGGACTAGTTCAAGTTGATTCATGAAGCGAATCATCACGAAAAAAATTTTTCATAAGCAAGATACTCCAGCGAGGTGACTTAAAAATATTCATTCCGACTGCCTTTAAGGTTTATGGAGCAGTAATAACATAAACAACATAAAAAAATGAAACAAAATAAAATTAAAACTTTTTTTAATTAAATTTGATTTGTTTTCTTTGAAAACCATCCCCCCACACGCCATATAAAGTACAAAACAATAGATTTCGCTCCTTCTAACAAATCAATTATGGCAAAATAAGCTTCTTTCAGCCAATTAGGAACGATTTCTAAGACGGATTAAATCTCCCCTTACACGTTAATAGCGTGAATTATATCGCGCGTTAATTATCCCAAAATGGCAATCTTTAAACCCCCATAACTTTACGAAAAATGATTACTGGTGAAATATATTTTCAAGTTTAAGCGCAGGATAACACTACCTTTTGAATGATTTTTAAAAAATTCCGTCAAAAATGGCTAGTTAAAAAGTCGAAAATTGTCGGAAGAAAAAAAAACCATCCCGAGCAAATATTCCGTTACTTTCGTATAGAAAGTCGGAACAAATTTAATTTTATTCCCGCGATCTTAGGAAAGCATTTGACACCATGGATTATAATATCGAGTTTAAAAAATTATTGTGTAATATATCGTAAGATATTAGTGTGCTTCTATAGAAAGCCAAAATTGGAGAGAAAGCAAAAACTGGAAATACGAATGTGTGCTCAAATTGGTGCCACAGCGCTCAATACATGGAAAACTGTTATTGTTCCGACTTTCGATACGAAAGTAACAAAAAATTTGTGCTCGGGTGTGTTTTTTTCTTCAGACAAATTTCGACTTTTTAACTCACCATTTTTGACGGAATTTTTAAAATATCATTCAAAAGGTATTGTTGTCCTGAGCTTAAATTTGAAAAAAATTTCACCTGTGACTATTTTTTGTAAAATTATGGGGGTTTAAAGGTTGACATTTTGGCCAATTTGGGACAATTAAAGAGCGATATATTCCGCGCTATTAACGCGTAAGCGGAGATTTAATCCGTCTTAAAATTGTTCCAAATTAGTTGAAGGAAGCTTATTTGCCATAATTGATTTGTTACTAGGAGCAAAATGTGTCACTTTGTACTTTAATTGGCATGTTTTTTGTTTCATTTTAATTACTTTTTTTATACATTTATTTTTTTCATGTTATTTTTTCTTCATAGACCTTAAAAGGCAGTCGGAACATTCAGGTCTTCGCCCTGATACGAGCAGTCTTGTTCCTAATTTACATTTATGATATGTCAATAGCCTGTTAAGATGTAAGAACGCTTCCATTCACTGATGATAGTAATAGTAGCGCATTAAGACGTACTGTAACAAATATAAAAGCAGATTCGGCTTTCAAAAAATGGCTGAATGCAAATAACTTGTGATAAACCTTGCCAAGTGTACAAATAATTCACATTGAAATGGAAAACTACCCCTAAAATTCACATGTGCTTCACAATTATAGTTGCTGAAGTTAAACTTCACTAAAACGAAGTCTAATTTTCATCAGAAAAATCAACTACTTCCGTGAAAGACGTGAAGCTTCGGATGACATTTTCATAGTTCGAGCAAAAAATCAAGCGTTCGCGTAACATATCATCAAACAGCTTAAGTTTGTACTCAGATCAACTTAAAAATTACATTCGTTCGCAGGCCTATCTAAGTGAGATTTAATTTTTGAAAACTCAGTTCGTTACTAGAAGAGCTCCTCAAAATTTATTGAAAATCACAACCTTTGTACTACTGTGAAAAATGTATCCATACGCTGCAGAGCTATCAAGCTCTTCAATAACCTGAGTCCAAATATTTTAGTACCTTGTAACCTTTAATAAATAACAGAAAACGTTACTTTCCAATTTATGTGAAATTTTTCGGATCATAATTTTCTTAATCATAATGAACTAATTAATTTCATTTACTCCAAATTATTCATAGCCTAAAGGTGACACACTACACTCCGATCCCTGGAGCATGGGTTAGATTCTCGGTTAAGGGGTACGTAAGGGGCGATGGAAAAAGAGGTGGTTACATGGGGGAAATTTTGAAAACATTTTAAATAGTGATCTCGGTATGAACAATTTCTATTTTATTTGATTTCATAAAGGCATGTGGGTTAGCTGAAACAAGCGTCAATATCGGCCCGACACGTGGGGTTCGATTTCCGTAGAGATAAGTTTTTTGCTCTTTAGCAGAGCCAAAACACACTAACATTTTACATTTTTGTGATTGTTTAAAACCATACCTCATTTAAAGCTTCTTAAAAAATTTCAAGGGTAGACTTAGAGCAGATCAGCTTTTCTCATTATCTACTCTTTCCAGGGATTTCATGCTTTCAGTAATTTGTAATTTATTCTTGTTTCTCGAAGTTGATTGATTTTCCATGCCTTTCGTTATGATATAATTTATCTTCTGTCGAGCAGATTATTGCGTTAAGTCAATTTAAACGATTTTTTAGCTTGGAAAATTATGAAAATTTTTGCGCCCTTCAGTTCTTGATAAAGTTGTAATATGCGATTTCGGTTTCAAACTTCATTGCCTGAAAAAGGTGTGCCATTTAAGTTTCTGTTGGTTACTTGTACAAGCAAACGTTTCTGTGATACTGGGAGTACACATTTTAGCAAGTTTTCTCTCAATATCATATATGCGTATTAACACGTACTAAAGTACAATAACGGATATTAATACAGGACATTGTGAGTGTTCGCGATTTTTTTTTTCATCAAATTTATGCAGGTTAAAATTAGACGATAATCATATCGATTTGTGATTTACATCGCTTGAATTTTCAATGTGATTTCGCAATATGATACAATTTGTTCGGTCGATATAGAAAAGTTTGAAAAATTTAAACTGCATTGAGGAAATCACATGAAGACACGTTTCTACTATCTTTTTCCGTAGTTACCTTTCCTAGCGTATACAAATAGCACTTTGAGTTCTGTTTGAAAAGTTTGGCTCTGCTGTCTAAGTTTTCCGAAAATAAAAAGAGTTATTGGTTTTTCATTTTCTGTATAAAATTGTTGCTTCTGTTGTGCTTTGTTTTGCGGCGTTTTTGTATAATTTTGTATCTTTTAAACTATCAAACAATTTTTAATAAATATTCGAAAATTATAATTTGAAACTAATTCGTTACATTTAATGTTAAAATTCAAGCCTTTTTTTCCTATTTTTTCCTTTTAGAGGATTTTTATACTTAAATTTTCCAACAATTCTTTCTCTTAAATCATTCTCCAAGTGTTCTCAATTATCATTTAAGCTTTCCTCTTAGTTTT